GTACAAGACCAGACATTACTCATGCAGTGGGAGTTGTGAGCAGATTCATGACCAATCCAGGAAAACAGCACTGGGAAGAAGTGAAGTGGATACTGAGATATCTGTAGGGTACTATTGATAAATGTTTATGTTTCAAAAGAGTTGAGTTGGCACTATAAGGCTTTGTAGATGCAAACTTTGCTGGCGAGGTCGATCACAGGAAAAGCACCATCGGTTATGTATTCACAGTTGGTACTATTGCAGTGAGTTCGATTTTGCAAAACCATAATATTTTTGCTTTATCCACTACAGAAGCAGAGTACATGGCAGTAACCGAAGCTAGCAAAGAGATGATTTGGTTAGAAGGTCTGTTGACATAATTGGGTCTCAAGCAGGAAAAGAATGTTTTGCATAGTTACAGTCAGAGTGCTATACATCTGGCAAAGAATGCAACATTTCGTTCGAGAACGAAGAACATTGGTCTTCGTTATCACTTCATCAGATCTCTCTTGGAGGATGAAGTATTAACACTGGAAAAGATCCAGGGCAGCAGAAACCCAGTTGACATGTTAACCAAGACGGTAACTACGAAAAAACTGGAATTATGTTCAACTTCAGTTGGCCTTCTAAAATGAAGATGAGGAAGGTGATCCACACCAATTTCACTAAAATGGAACTGCTCGCAGGTGTCTCAAGGTGAAGCCACATTAGTCTCCAAGTGGGAGATTGTTGAAATAATGGAGCCTAAGTTTAAGGCTTCACAAACTTTCATCTGTGTCAGACAATTTTGTCAAAAGGTGGTAGCAAATGTTGACAAAACAATATGGATGGAAAAATCTTACAACCATGCAGCCGTTTTTGGAAGAATTTTTTTGCCATGCATTTAATGAAATGTTGCCTTTGTTAAAAATGATGGATCTGTAATTAATGAGGGTGGCAAGTTTTTTTCTATAAATACAAGGCCAAAGCGGGAGCAAAAAGACATATGTGCAAAGAGAAGTGCAAGAAAGGTGTTGAGTGAAAACACGAGAGACAGTGAGCAAAGCACAAAAATGAGAAGCAGTTAGGTTTTAGTTTGTGCAGAAAATTAACGAGAGAAAATTGAGAGATTGCTTTTGTGTAGGCAAATAAAACACAAAGAGTGTATTTTTTGTATTCTTTTGTATAGGCAAATAAAATTGGTGTGAGTTTGTGGACGTAGGCACAATTGCCGAACCACATAAATTCTTGTGTCACTTGCACTTATTAATTTTTTGCTACATTTATTTCTTCTCAATTTAAATTATTTTGTGTCCCACTGATCCTGACGGAATTAGTAGCGGTCTAATTCTTAACAACTGGTATCAGAGCTCCAAAATTTAAGTGGGAGCAATGACAACAGACGAGAAGATATCTAAAATTGATAAGTTTGATGGTACAAACTTTTGATTTTGGAAGATGCAAATGAAGGACTATTTGTACCAGAAGGACCTGTATAAATCACTTCACAAAAAGCCAGAGGACATGACCAATGACGAGTGGGAATTGCTTGATCGAAAGGCTCTTGGCGCAATAAGGCTGACATTATCAAAGTCAGAGACTAAAAATTTGAAGCATAACTTTTTTTGCTTGAAAGTTGATATATGATAATTCTTCGACTATATTTCACCCGTTTGACTTCTTTCCTCATGTGATTGACCTCTAACACTCTCGAATCTTCATCGTATGGTTCAACACAACTTTTCAATGTTTGCACTTTAGACTTCAAACTTTGATTTTGCTTCATTTTAGTCATTTTCTCTTGTAATCTTGTTCCTTTATCTTTCAATTGTATCCAATTAAAGCTTTGGCATCTTCGATCTTCATTTCATCGCTTGTCTCATCTATGAATTTTTTGCAACATGGTTCTCGTCTTTTGGATTTCACCGTTTTTTTTGGATATTCCTTTTGTTTCTTTCAATTTCTTGTCCAGCCATTGAGTTTTACTTATTTAATATAAAAACACAACAATTTAGACTATATTTCACCAGAGGAGCAACTAAATATAATTATTTAAAGTCTTGAATAAGTGTATAAAATACACCTATCAGCATCGACTATTGGGCGATGGTGCTAACCATTGATGCAGTGAGAGTGGAGAAGTAGGAGGTGCAGACCACCGACCTTTCTGTTTTTCATAAGAGTGGGTAGGGGTTGGGTAGATTTCTTTTATTTTTTGGGTTTTTTTATTTAGCCTCTGTTTGGGGGACTAAAATCAGATTTTTATTAGATTTTGGTAGATGTTGATGAAATGTGTGATTGAAAAGTTATGGATCTCATAAAATGTGTGGTTAAAATTAATTGTTAATTTTGACTTATATTTAAATCTTGGTTTTAAATTTCTATCAAATAGGGGCTTAGTTATTTTATGTGAAAAAACGATAAGTTATGATTTTGTTCTTCTAAAATTTGTCAAAATTGTAGTCAATATCGGTTCTTTGGTCAATTAATGTCATTTGGATCGCTGCTACTGTGTTCTCAAAGGTTTGGGACCTCCGTTGATAAAAATTGAAGGTTAAGATAAAGTCTGTAGAAAAGTGAAATTTTAGAAATCATTGCTGCAATTTTTCCAAAATTTAATGTCACGTTTTCATGGAGTTCTTATCTGTCACAGATAAGGAAAGTAAGAATAATAACCAATCATTTTAAAATTCATCATTTTTCAATTTCCATGTTATTAATGTGGCATATAAAATTGGTTAGAATGAATAGAAATTGACCTTAACTTTGCCGGACGTAACAAAATGGTCTTATATTTACTTCTTTTTGAATGAATTGTACATTGCCTTTTGAGTTTTTAGCCAATTGATGTCTAACGTTGGCTGTTAGAAAAGATAACTTACTTCTTATTGAAACAGCAGTGCCACCCGTATTTTAATTTAAAAAATCAGAATGGAAAAAAATTCAAAACATTATCTTTCCCAATCCACCAATAACCAATAGCATGCCTTATAGGTCCCTATGCCATTGATTCAAATAAAAAAGTGAAATAATTTAAAAGATGTGGGTGACGACGTTGATTAAGAGATTAAAAGGAAGAAATTGGAAATGAAAATGCTACATTAACAAACCCATCTACAAACTGTTTGACAAACTAGACAAGTGATGGCTCCCTATTAGAGAGGCAGCTGTGGAGATTTTGTACAATATTTTGTACATATATCTTTATCCAATTGGAAATATTGATTGGGAAATGTAAGAGGTGTTCGCAAATAGTTTGGGGCAGACATGTAGCCAGTGTGGTTTAGGTTGCACGTGGTGTCTTTTCCTATTTTCTTGTTTCCTTTTTATTCTTCTTTTAATAATTTTCCATGTGAATTGAGATTTTCCATCCACGACTATATTGTTTGTTGACTTTAAAATCTTGAAGGATAAAGATATCAACATATACTGGTTACATTCTCATCTACCTGTTTCGAAACCTGAACATAAGAAATTGAAGTTTGCAATCCTTCTAAGAATGTAGTCAGGGCACCTTTTAGGCTTTGACACTCAAATTAATGCAAGTAAAATAATATAAGTTCAAGAGAAACAAAATGGACAAAGAATTTGCAAGAGGTTTGAATTATTCATTTTTGTACATACCTTTTCTTTTATGTTAGATGGAATTTCAATAGGAAAACTAGGTTAAAGGAAAATTGGACCTTTATTGAATCCCCCTCCCCAAAACAATATGTGTCGCTTTTTAATTAGTGAGGACTTTTGATTTTAGTACCTTGTCATTTTTTGATTAATGGCGAGGTCATTATCAAGTAATTGATTCTTGTTTGATTTTGTTTCACACTTTTTATTGGTTTTAGTCTACTTGGTAGTTATCCTCTTGCCAAGTTTCAATATCTTTCGTCAAATTTTAGTTCCTTTATTGAAACCCACTCCCCCCCCCCAAACGACACGTGTCGGTTTATAATTGGTGAGGACTTTTGATTTTAGTACCTTGTCATCTTTTGATTAATGACGAGATCATTATCAAGCAATTGATTCTTGTTGGATTTTATTTTTCATTTTTAATGGTTTTAGTCTATTTGATGGTTATCGTCTTGCCAAGGAGAAAACCTTCAATACAGTAGTTCTATATGTAGATATGGTGTGATCATCCATATTAAATTACGACGTCTTGAATTTTGAACCATGCAAAATGTAATAACTTGACATTCGAGATTGTAAGAGAGAAATAAAGTGAGCGTGTGAAGTCAAGGTGTCAAATTTTGAATGACTCAAATTTCGAAATGTTATGATTTGAATGGACAGTCCTACAACGTGTGCATATAGGACTGTCCTACTAAATCTTCTCTCCTACCATGTGGCAAAGGAATATTCTGTATTTCCTTCATTAAAAAAAGGGTGTGTGACATAAACAAATTCACTTGCCTGCATGAAAGTAGATATACATTTTGATAACAGGTGTGGATCTGAAAGGAAAGATATCAAAAAGGCAATTATTCAGATAACTAATGCATAAATATTATAAATAGCATTTAGCTAATTCAATTGTCAAGGCTAGAATAAGATTTACAATTTGAGATCTTAAAATGAAATACGAAGAGTTCAACGAGCAGGTTTTTATTATATTCCAATCAAAAAGTAACACAAATTATGCCACCACAATTGCACCTCACACCATTGACTAAATTCTTCCAATTACAATCTTTAACCCCAATTTCAGGAATGCAATTTTAAGGTGAGGCTATTTTTTAACAGCTTGGACAAAGATAAAAAAATAAAAATAAAAATAAATGTGAATAATATGTGTGTACTTGATATAATAAAAAACGTAATAAAATTTATTAGTTCATTTTAATACACTCAAATTTTCTTTCGTATTCATCCTTTCTTATTTACTTGAAGAAGAAATTACGAATGTCGAATTTGTTGGAGAATATAAAGATTGCTTGCTAATAAGCCAAAACAAATTATTGATAAAGTAAAAAAAAAAAAAGGAAAAAAGAAAAGTGAGTTTGAGTTAGGTTAACATGTAGATTGATCAAAAGCATTGACTGTCACTATTGATTAAAATACCTAAAAGGTAAATTAAAAAAATTGTAACGTTTGCAAGCAGAATAAATACATAAGCCTTAATATAACATCACACACGAATACAAATTTATTACTTAGCTTGCATTTTTGCACATAACCAGGGATCAATTAAAGTGGAGGGGGAAATGAAAATGATGCGTAAGCCAAATATAACATAACTAAACATGGCCATGCAAAAGAGATGAAGGGGCTGCTGTTTATGAGGCGCATCGTAATGGTTGCACCACTGGTTTGACCACCGTGGCGGGTTAACGTACCTCCACCACCATTTCCAGTACGGCTGCCTGCACTACTGCCACCACCACCCCTTGCTCCACCTCCGCCGATGCCATCTCCGCCACTACCACCACTGCCGCCTCCATCCCCTCCCGGAGCAACTGCAGAACTGAGGAGGAGGCAGATGATTGAAAGCACAAGAACAAATTTTGCGTGTTGCATCTATTGTTTCTATTCAACGTTATCAAGATTGGAATTCCCTTAAGACGGGAAATGGAACGTTCAAACTTAGAATTAATTACACTTGCAAGAATATTTCTTGTTTATAATTTATTATTTGATAGTGTAGGTTTGTGCACACGTCTAAGCTTGCCCGAATAAAAAAAGAAAAAAAAAGCACACGTATATGCCGTCTAACCGTCCAAATTAAAAAGAAATCAAGCCTACCAATCGTCCAAATTAAAAAAAGAAACCAAGATATTTATAATCGAAAAACTTCAATGTCATGATTTCATGAAGTTCTTATGTGTCAAAGATAAGAAAAATAATTAATATTACCAAATATCATATTTAGGATTATTTGAACTCAAGTTGAGAAAACACGAGGGGTGAGCATAAATGTGACCACTGAAAAATCTGCGAAAAATGCTAGGGCATTCTCATAGCCCTTACGTTGTTTATTTAGCAAGCAAGTAGAGAAAAATATAAGCGTGAGAACAAAAACATGCCAAAATAATGAATTAGACATGATATATATACAGCGAGAGTAAGAGGAGTAATTGAAACATCTGTGAAATAATGAGTTGACCAAATAGGATTGGACTACTGATGGCTTTAGAATTCTCATTGGGATCAGAGCATAGGAGACATGTTGGAGTAGTACTCCTCATCATAGTTGGACAATGATGAACTCGTACCAGATTGGGGATCATTGAGATGAAGTAGGATAGTCCTATAAGACGACATGAAATCGGGGTCCTTGACCCCAAGCTGAAGGCGTCCACCTCGAGGATCAAGACAAAACCAGAAATTGCAATGCGTGTGTGGTCAAGACTAAGGTATTCTAGTGGCCCTATAAACTTGAGGCCAGGCTCGGGGTCAAGTGCCTTACAGCGAGTCGTTGGACGTGTAAGCAACACACACACGTACAACGGTCAAATTATTTGAAGAGAAGTGCATTGTCACTTAGGAATCATGTAGTGTCATATAGTAAGGAGGCATAAGGCTTGCGCCATTGTGTTTAAACCTTGTAAATACCCCGTCCCCATTTTTAATTTCCACCAAACCTTGAGAAGCAAAGAGCTCGAGCACTGAACCTAAGCTAAGATCTTAGGCTCATTTTTTATTTATTTCACATAAGGCATATAGGTAAAGATGAGGAGAGTAAAATAACGAGGGTAGAAAGGTAGAGGTTAGCAACAGCCTTCGAGGCCTTGGACTCTATTGATGAGAGTATAGAGAAGCTCAAGGTAAATGACCAAAAATGGAGATGAGATCAAGGACCCCGAAGTGAGCAAACAAGGAGGGGACGAGGAGAGGGATGAGGTTGAGGTGTTGGAATATCATGAAACTTTAAATCTTAATAACATGAAAAGCTAATTACTTATTGCCAAGATCCTCCATGTTAAATCTCCAAGAGCATTATAAAGTGCAAAACATACCTTAATTCATTGGGAATGTTTATTTGATACTGGATCTTGAATATTGACTTTTTAGACTCTTGAGTTCTTGATCTTGATTTTACTTCTTGATCCATATTCTTGATTGTTGAATTTCTTCTTCTTAATTTTTTATTGTGGATCGCATGTTTTTGATTATGGATTTCGAATCTTCTTCTTCAATATACTTTCTCTTCTATTATTGTATTGATGGGATGACACAAAAAATGAGAAGTTGTTGAATTGAGAAACATGATCCTATATATAGTTTTCATATTCATTTTGCTCATGATGAAGTGCAATTTTAAAGGAATCCGCCTCTATATATATATAATTCGGCCCACACTTTGTTTAGATGCTCTAGCCCAAAAATTTAATTTTTTACTAGATCACTTGAATTATGGGTTTAACTTTAAGATGACCTATACACAATTAATTATATATGTAGGCCCACATGAAAAATTAAAATTTTCTCAATAATCTCTCACTTGGGCCACATATGTTACTTGATAAATTTGTATAACCTTATGACATCAAAACTTTTGCTATTATAACCAAAAGCATCTCCGAACAATCTCATCCATCAATTATGTCAAATAGGATCAATTTACAAGTTAACTACTTGGACTTATTGACTAACAATAGGCTAAAGAATAGGAAAATGAATAAAAAACAAGTTAACTACTTGGATTTATTCACTAACAAATCAAAACAAATAAACAACTTAGAAACCAATTCGACTAAGATCCAGCATGTGTGTGACCCTTAAAATTATTTGCACGGCTTCTTGTGTAGTGGCATGTATCAATTTTGTTTGTCTATAGCTAGTGTGGAGAATTTATTTTTGTTCATACACGTTGATATTAGGGATTTCACAAGGACAGAATGCACAAATAGAGAGTTCCTAACATTATTCTATCAATATAATGCAAGTGTTATGCCCTAAGTCCAATCAACCTTGGACATAAATACTTTTACTATATAAGTAATGTAATTTAATGACAGATCTATTATTTAATTAATAGACAATTAAATAAAATAATAGAGTCTGTAGATTCAAATCTTTGTAATTTGTTAATCACAATGAGTTATGATTGTGAGATACAAATTACATATAATTGAATTTTAAATCGTTTGTGATCATAACTAATAATGAGATATTGATATCATTATTACGGATAGACCATCACGTGTGACATTCTTACTTATGAAGTAAGTAGCTGATCTCACAAGTTAAAGTGTGGTGACACTTAAATGAACACGTGAATATTTTGTTATAGAACAAAACATTGGAGACCCGTCTAGAGATTCCATATGAATAACTATTTGAGTGTCAGTGGTTAGTCTCTAACGTTCGGTAGTGGGATTGGTCATTTGACTTGAAGTCGTTATAGTACCTTATATGAGGATAGTCATGCTTTGACGGTGTTGGATGTTGCTCTGTCAAGAGCCATTAATACGGCATCGTTCGGGTATGTCAAGAATCGTATGAAGGTTGTGAATGACCAATAGAGGATTCATCACTTTTAGATAGTAAGAGATTATGATCTACATTTCATTCAATTAAGTCGATAACGAAATCCTTGACCAATGTGATATTGAATTAATAGTGGAGTGAAAGATATGATTGATAATTGAGGTTGACACACTTCTATATTTCGTAATTAATCAGATCATATTGACGAATGGATAATAGTTTCACGGTAAACGAACGAGTTTGATTTTGTCAAACCACGTGATATTTTTCGTCACATGTATTGCCCTAACACATTGTTAGATGTCAATCTGGGACGGCGAGTATGAATTGGTGATAAATTAAAAGAGTGTTTTAATTTATCAATTTTGATTAGATCAAAATAATATTTCACGTCGTTAGGCATCGTGATCAGGAATCTGATGGGTCGCACAAAAAAGGAGATCTGGAAGATTGTGATTTGTCAATTAATTAACTTAACAAGTGTTGAATAAATTAATTAATTGGGTTGCTTATTTATAGGTCTGAATTGATTAATTGGATTAATTAATTCACGAATCAGATTTAATCAAATGAGTTAATTAAATGTTGGATCGGGTCAGGCCAAGCTCGTTTGAGCTTATATATATATATATATATATATATATATATATATGTATATATATATATATATACATGTATATATATGTATATATATATATATGTATGTATATATATATATATGTATATATATATGTATATATATGTATATATATGTATATACATGTATATACATGTATATATATATATATATATGTATATACATATGTATATAGATGTATATGTATGTATATACATATATATACATGTATATACATGTATATATATGTATATACATATATATACATCTATATACATATATATATATATATATGTATGTATATACATATATATATATGTATATACATATATATACATGTATATATTAGGGTTTTCAAAATTGAAGTGATTTTCGTTATTCTTACTAGCACAAGAAAAATTTCAATACTACAATCTTGTTCTCTGTGTGAATCACCATTGGAGATTGGACAGTTGTGGGTGACAGATCAAAGCTGCTGGAACAAGGAAAAAGCAATGGAATTTGTAGATCTCGTAAAATATACAATCTTTATCACAGTTTTCTATCTAAACATAAAGACGATTTTTGGTGGGAATCGAAAATTGTTTTAAATTTTCCCTTCACACGTTAAGTAGATTCTCAATAGTGGTATCATAGTCTATTTTGTGTTTGTTAGAAATTGTTTTGCATTAGTGAATAGTCAAAATTTGATTGTTCATACTTTTCTTGGATCTAGCAATTTAGAAAGTGATGTTTCATATTCAAAATCCGACTTTGAAAAAGAAAATGGATTTTTGGAAGAAGAAAGGAGGGGGGGGGGNTCTGAATATTTCCAGTAGCCACCGTCGACACTAGTGGCACAAAAGTGCTCGACAGTGTCGAGCACCTCTACTATTGTAGCAGCAGTACCGACTGTCGGCGCTGTTGATTGTGGCAGCGTGCGACGCTGCTGTTTCAGCAACGTCGCGCGCTGCTGTATGACAACTGCTTGTAGCTGCTGCCTTAGTAACAGACTGTATGACAGTGGCGACGATCCGCTGCCATATCCAAAAGTTATTCATTTTTATTATTATATATATTTTTAGTCGGGTGAAAGGTTGGTTGGAGGCGAGGCTTCTACTGCAATTAGCATAATTACGAGGGCCCGCCTGCAATTATATTATGGATGGGGTCAATTGTACATAAAAGGGGACCCTTTTATAATTTGGGATATTGAAGGGCCCGTTATGCTATTTGCCGAATTGGGAGGCCTCATTTATAATTTTTATATTGGGTCAAAATGCAATTTGTTTTTGAAAGGGATTTAAATGCAATTTTGAAAAGGTTTTATGAACTATTTTAATGTTAAGAACAATGGTTGTCCATGCCTATCTTGATTAAAGATCTTAATGGTTGTGGTAAACTATAATATAACATTTATATTCTAAATACTAAGCATTCTATAATGAGTATAGAAGTTAAGAGACAGAAAAGTGATAATTTGAATATTACCTAAATCTACCATGGGAGACTTTGTTATATAGATGAAATGCAATTCCAAAGTTACAAAGAGATGTATACTTGGTGTCAATTGATTTTGACAAGTACGAATTGTGCATGTCTGACATAATGACCAAATCTCTTTTTACTTGAAAATGAGAAAGGTTTGCATAATTACTGGTCTAATGCATACTGTCGCGTATGGACCCATGTCAAATTATGTCAGGTGAAGTTTCTCTTATTTCATCAAAATTACTAATGACTATTACAGAAATAGTCATATATGCTTGATGAAATCCAAGCGTGAAACTCTTGAAAGGTTCAAGGGATTCAAACTTAAAGTAAAGAAACAAATAGGTAGAGATATTCTCACATCAAGATCTGATTGAGATGAGAATATCTTAAAGAATGAAATTTTAGATTATCTGAAAGAGAATGAGATTTTCTTGTAGTGGACTCCTACATATACACTGTACCAGTGGTGTATCGAAAAAGATGAATCATTAACTATTAGATATAGTGCGATTAAAAACAAGCCATGTAAATTTCTCAAAATCGTTTTGGGGTCATGCACTAATTGCAATGTGTTACACACTAAATCATGTCACATCTAAGTTGGTTAACACAATTCCGTACGAGCTATGGAAAGGCAATAGTCCAAACTTATCTCATATGAAAGTTTGGGACTCTAACGTTTATTTGAAGTGCATTGAATCGGATAAACTAGAGTATATATATTCGATGAATACATATTTGTGGGATATCCAAAACAAATATTTGGATATCAGTTCTATTATTCCATTGAGAAGAAAGTCTTTGTCTCACGATACGTCATCTTCTTAGAGAAAATATTTACTCTAGGAGAGGATAATAGAGCAAAATAGAACTTGAAAGAGTTCAAGAGTCCACAGACATAGTTAACCAAGTAGATGAATTCGAGTTTGATCCCATATCCGATGTGGGGCATACTCTTGATCAAGAAGTAGAGACTTCTCAGGACATGTTAGCTTTGTGTGAATCCAGTAGGATCATTCGATCTCCAAGAATGTGCAAACCCATGATTACTAAACATGTATTATTGATCGAAGGTGATGAACCTACTAATTATGCAGAAGCAGAGTCAAGTATTGACTCAAGCAGATGTCAGGAGGTCATGAAATTCAAAATGAACTCAATGTATGAAAAATAAGGTTTGAACCTTGGTCGACCCTCTTGATGGAATAAAACTCATATTTCATAAATAGTTTATGAGAAAAATGTCGATGTGAACCGAAATATCCATACCTACAAAGAAAGGCTAGTAACAACGGTCAAATATTGATCTTGGTGAAACCTTTCTCTTGTAGCTTTGCTGAAATCCATTCAGATTTTGGTTGCAACAGTTGCATACCGTGACTATGGGTTAAAACATGTCTCTTAGAGTTGAAATCTTCGGTTTGATGGAAAAGTCAAAATGTTTGATTTTATCAAATTTGAAGACGAATTGTATGTTTGCAAAAAGATAGTGGGAGCATTATCACATTCCTGATATTATAAGAAACGACATCCATATGTTTCAATCGTTGAAATAATGGTCGTTATGTGA